TTCAGCCGTGAAACTCATCATCCTCTGTAATCCGAACATTTTTTTTCTTCTATTTTTCAGTTTCTGTTCTTGCATTTGTTCTTGCATTTCTAAAACTTCATCTCTCTCTCTACTCTTTAAAAAGTATGGTGTTAATACTTCTAGGAGTCATCATTTCCATCTTGTAACTTGTTTTTTTTTTGTTTTTTTTTTTTCTGTAAACGAATGGCGCGATTTTTTTGGTTGAAGTTGTGCGTTTTGGACTTTTATTCACTCAAAAACGAAAGAGAAACTTGTGTGATTAGTACATGAATTTTTTACTGTTGAAGCATCGATCTGCCTTGGATTTCTTTCACTTTTTTTTGTTTCTTTCCGTTTGAAGTGGAATTATAATTGAGGATCAGAGTTCATTAGGTTTGATTGTTGGTTTTATTTTGTATAATTTTGCTTCTGACCTACTCTTACTTCGATTTTCATCTTCATTCTCTGTTTGCAACTTTTTTTCTCGGCTTTTACACACGCCTTTACGCTTTGATTTCTTTGTTCCTCTGTTTCACATTTATTCCTCGCCGGTAACCTCTCACCTTCTTCGCCCAAACTGCTACTGAATGCTGATGCAACTTTTTGATCCTTCATTTTCGTGTTTGTGAATGAGTGATCTTAGTGCTGCTTTCTCTGTTTTTCCTCTGTTTGGTTGCTGAGAAATTGAGTGAGAATCCACTCCTCTAATTTTATATTTTATTCTTTTATCTGTTCCAGATACCAGATACCGTTGCACGAGGAATTTAGTTTCGTCCCTTCTTTTTTTTTTTTTTTTCTCTCTGAGCAAAAAAATATTAGGTTGATTGTATCTACTCTTGGAATAATTGCTTAAAACGCCTGCATAAATAAGTTTTTGTGTCTGATGAATCATAAATAAGTTCTTGTTTCTGATGAATGAACATGATATGCGGTTGAATAGACTATATGGGCTTTCCTTCCTCTAAAATGCTGAAATGCATTTGAACACTCCTTTTGTTTCTGTTTTTTTCAATGTCACTTAATAAACCCTCTTTTTTTTTTCTCGGTAGTGGCGTACAATCTTTTTGTAGAGGCCATTCTTGATGAAACTTCACTCTTGATTTAAAAATGTGAGATATTTTTGCAACCATTTTGACCATTTGTCTTCATTGTTACAGCATTGAAGGCGTAATCGTGTAGCACAATGTCAGATTTAGAGGTTCCTTTGCGTCCAAAGAGGAAGAAGGTCTGGGTGGACTACTTTGTGAAATTCCGATGGATTTTAGTTATTTTTGTTGTCCTTCCTATATCATTCTGCCTATACTTCTTCACATATCTTGGAGATGTCAGATCTGCCTGGAAGTCCTACAAGAAACGCCAAAAGGAACATGATGAAAATGTCGAGAAAGTTGTAAAGCGCCTTAAACAGAGGAACCCAGCAAAGGATGGACTTGTTTGCACAGCTCGAAAACCATGGATTGCTGTCGGAATGCGAAATGTCGACTATAAAAGAGCACGCCATTTTGAGGTTGATTTATCAGCTTTTAGGAACATTTTGGATATTGACCAAGAGAAAATGATTGCCAAAGTTGAGCCCCTTGTGAACATGGGACAAATCAGTAGAGCCACTGTTCCACTCAATCTTTCTCTTGCTGTAGTTGCTGAACTTGATGATCTTACTGTTGGAGGACTCATCAATGGCTATGGAATTGAAGGAAGCTCCCATCTCTATGGCTTGTTCTCGGACACTGTTGTTGCTTACGAGGTTGTTCTAGCTGATGGCCAGGTTGTTAGAGCTACTAAAGATAATGAGTACTCAGATCTTTTCTATGCGATCCCATGGTCCCAAGGAACAATTGGCCTTCTTGTTGCTGCTGAGATTAAGCTTATACCAATTAAGGAGTATATGAAAGTTACATATAAACCTTTTAGAGGGACTTTAAGAGAGATTGGACAAGCTTATATGGATTCTCTTGCACCTAGAGATGGAGATCAAGATAACCCAGAAAAGGTTCCTGACTTTGTTGAAACTATGATTTACACTCCTTCTGAAGCTGTTGTCATGACAGGTAGATATGCCTCCAAAGTAGAGGCCAAGAGAAAGGGAAATGTGATCAATCAAATTGGATGGTGGTTCAAACCGTGGTTCTATCAGCATGCATCTACAGCACTCAAGAAAGGGGAGTTTGTGGAGTATATTCCTACAAGGGATTATTATCATAGGCACACAAGGTCTTTGTATTGGGAGGGTAAGCTTATTCTTCCATTTGCAGATCAATGGTGGTTCAGATTTTTATTTGGATGGATGATGCCTCCCAAAGTTTCTCTGCTCAAAGCTACTCAAGGTGAAGCTATCAGGAATTATTATCATGAAATGCATGTTATTCAAGATATGCTTGTTCCTCTTTACAAGGTTCCGGATGCTTTGGAGTGGGCTCATCGTGAGTTGGAGGTACTGCTCTTCATCTTATACATTCATAGTTATCATTGAACTTCAAAGTTATCCAATACCATCAAATGCTCAACTTTGTGTTTTGAAATACAAATCCCTTGTCACAAATCTAATAGGATAAAATCCATAAAATTCTAAAAAAATATCTAACACGTTAGAGATCTATGAAACACAAAATTGACTTGTGATATAAGGGATAAAATTGATTTGTATTTTTACTAGAGGTGGTTATAGGCAAGTGGCTGATGAGTCTATCTGAAGTGGATTTCAATTGAAGATGCAGATTTGGTTAACAACAGCAATTTGTTGGTGTGGTCTTGCACAGGTTTACCCCGTTTGGCTCTGCCCACACAGACTCTTCAAACTTCCAGTCAAAACCATGATATATCCCGAACCAGGATTCGAGTTACATCGTCGACAAGGAGACACGCATTACGCTCAAATGTACACAGATGTCGGGCTGTACTATGCACCAGGCCCTATCCTGAGGGGTGAAGTTTTCGATGGCGCCGAAGCTGTTCGTAGAATGGAGAAATGGCTTCTGGAAAACCATGGATTCCAAGCTCTATATGCAGTTTCAGAACTGAATGAGAAGGATTTCTGGAGGATGTTTGACGCAGAACACTATGAGCAATGCAGGAAGAAGTATGGCGCTGTAGGAACATTTATGACAGTGTATTACAAGTCCAAGAAAGGTCGGAAAACTGAGAAGGAAGTGAAGGAAGCTGAACAAGCTCATCTTGAAACCACTTATGCTGAACTGGAACAACCCAATTAAATCAACTTCCAGCTTGAAATATCTGGTGGGTTTTCTTATTTAATCCTCTTTTATTTTCCTGTTGACATTTCTTTTTTTCTTTTTTAGAATTTTGAATGATGCTTTTGTAGTTTTTTTTCATGTCTGATCTGATCTGAGTTGCCTGTCTGACCCGCCTAGGTTGATTTTAAATTTGAAAATTGTTGTAGTTTGAACAGCCGAACTTGATGGATTATCATCAGAGTTTGTCTTTGATGCTTTGTTTTATGAAATAGATGAGATGTTGATGAGGTGATTAGTGTTTGATGAAGATTTGTAATAAAAATGCTGGTCTTCATGGATATGTTAGGAAAGGAATTTATGGATGGATACCTTAGAAATTTAAAAAGCTTGAAATAAATGAAGTATTAAGGCTGTGGAGATTTGATAAATCTTTATAGGTACAATTGAGAGAAAAAAATGGTCTCCCACTTGAATGACCATTTTTAGCTAAAGTTTGGGACAAATTAAGAGTCGGATCTGATCCGAGGAAAATTCAACAACCAACAATGACCACCAAAAATTGCTATTAGAATATTTGGTGTAAATTTTTTTTATTTATAATCAAGTAGTAATAAATGGAAAGAGAAGTCTAATATCTAAATAATTTGTCTATAATAAATTATAATTTAGTATTAAATATCCTTAACAACTAAATCCCTCTCACCGTTGTCTTCCAGCTTCAGCAGTTGGATTATCATTGCTTCATCTACGTTAGTCAGGAGTTGAGTAACTCACAATCGATCATGTCTGTCTTGTAACGGTACGACATATCGTCTCAATAAATATATAGAAAAAGAAAGTTTGTAATTCGTTTTCTTTGAGAGTTGATAAAAATCATGAATTCTAAATATCAAAATTTTGAGTTAAGATTCTCAACTCTCATTTCTAGTCTATAATAAACAATAGTATAAATTGTATTTTCATTTTATTTTATCATTTATATATATATATAGTAAATCACGTGAGGTTAAATCAACTAAAAAGTATATCACATCATTATTTAATTAATAATATTAAGAATAGAAAACAAAGAAACATAATTTAAGCTCAATGGTTTACTTGAAAAGCTGGAACCATTTAATAATTTAAGCTCATGATTTGGTATCCCTTTAATTTTGAATTATAGATTTTGAAAAATAAAATCTTAATAAGCTTCACTCTCTAGGGTCTAGAAACTTTTAAAAGTAGAGTCGTACAACTTATATGTTAATAAAATTAAAAAATAAAATTAATAAAATAGACAGATCTATTAAATTAAACTTCTAATCTTTAAAAAAAAAATATATGCATTTCGAAGATGCAATTTTTTTCGTAGAACAAGATATTTGGAGTTTGTTGCAAGAAAAAATACAATCTTTTATTGGTCAATGGTTCAAATTATAGTTTATTAAGTGAAATTTGGTGCAAGAGGTAAATATATATATAAAAACTTCAGAATTGGACAGAATATACCGCAAATATTTTTCTGTAAAACAAATTGAATAATAATTACGGTAATTATAGTGTAATAAAATTTTAATTTGAACTTTAGTAAATATAGATAATAAACTAAAAAATTAACTACGCTTAGCTTCTTTAACATTTAAAATTCAATCAAATATCAAAATTTCAGTCCATTAATAATTCAAAATTTCCCAGACAATACAACTTCAATCGAATAGTGAACATAGATAAATTGGTCTCTCGAACAAATTATTCATAGTGCAGATATATGGGTCTTAACAAATTGAGTTAGGCTCGAGAGGTAATTTCAACTACACGATAAACCGATTTGAAATGGGTCTCTCAAACGAACCCAAACCACTAACAAGTTAAAATGCTTACTACGATCGATGAATATACGAAGTTTGAACTTACGTAACGAAATCATGGTTAAAAGAAATAAATAAGTTAATTAAAAATAAGAAGAAATTCTGGTTTTCTATAGAACTATGTTACAGGAAGAAAACTTGGGAAACAATGAAAGCTAAGATTCTGAACAACTGATGAAGCCTATCTCTCTCTATTGGATTCAAAAAAGGATGGGAAGTGTTCCCGTTAGGAATATAAAGTGAGCGTTCTTTATTCCTCTTCTATTTCCTTCCTACTTTAATAAAATGTGTTACCTTAGTTTCCAAACCCGAAGGGCGATTTCCTCCGGCTACCGCCTTCCCCATACTGCTCGTTCCATTTTCTTAATTCATTCATGCTTGTGGCGTCGAAGGCAACCGATGGTCCGACCTGTTCGTATCAGAACAGAGTGTTTTTATGTTATTGCAGAGAGCAGAAGCTATTAAAGAGATAGATAATACATGCACATTAAGAACTTTAAGAGATGGAATCAAGAAAGGATTGGGGGCTGTTGAAAATCTGAAAATGGATTTTTTATTTCATGAAACTCATGTTCCTAATTACTCTTAAATTAGTTTATGGAAGGCAAGAGAATAGAGTAACAATGACATCAGTTGGGCAATGATTTTAGCCGAAAAACGAGTTGCTTATACACCACCATGTCAGGTGTAGTGTGCGATCCCAACACTGGTCCTAAAGGGGGGTGGACTCTGAGATCCCACATCGATTAAAGAGGGGAACGAGTGTCAGCGAGGACACTAGGCCCCGAAGAGGGGTGGATTTTGAGATCCCACATCAGTTAGAGAGGGGAACAAGGAGATTCACGCAAAACTATCTCATTAAAATTCATGAAATGCTGGAAACCTGCTTCAATCAAATAGAGATTTGAAGAAACTTTTAAATGGTTGAATTCTGAGTATATACCTTGGCTTTTGACTGAATAAAGTCATCAAGATTAAGCGGCCTCAATGGAGTAGCATTGTCACTTTGGGCACCCTGAAGTGCAAGTACGAGACAAACTCAATACAGCAATTTGTAAAAACCAAGGCATCAAAACCAACGCCAATCTTGAGAGTTGAAGAAACCCAAATCGAGTAAATTAGTATAGCAGCAAGCATAAAGAAGCATAGGATTTACCCGATTTTCTTCTTCTAAAAGTTCTTGGACAGGTCTATAAGCTGCAGCAATACAAAGATTCTGCAAAATTAAAAGAATAACGTTTAGCGACGTTTGGTAATTTCAAGTTTTCGATTAACAACCCGGTTTCTTTTAACGCTATAGTATCAGTGTTACCTTCAAATCACTGCCAGAGTACCCCTCTGTTGCATTTGCAAGTTCATCAAACTGGAAATCAGGAACTACATTTTCTTGTGCAAGAAATATTTTAAGAATCTTCATACGATTTGCAGCATCTGGTAGGTCTACGTATATCCTAATGAATAACAAGCAATTAAATTGACATATCGATTGCAGTCCTCCCAATTCAGTTGTCCCTTACCGATGAACATCAAAGCATACCTTCTGGGTAGTCTTCGAATGACGGCGTCATCCAGGTCAAATGGTCGATTTGTTGCACCAAGGATAAGAATTCGTTGGCTGTCCTTTGTCCGCAACCCGTCCCATGCTGCCATAAACTCGTTTCTCATTCTTCTCGTAGCTTCATGCTCAAAAGCACCGCCACGAGCACCAAGTAAACTGTCAACCTGGAATAACAAATTGGGGAACATTTGACTCAAAAAAAGAAGTGGAAATAAAGTCAAGTGCCAAGTTGAATCACGCTTGAAACAGAACACGAAAAATGCAAAACCAAAAAAAGAAAGCTGAAATATAAAATTTGATTTTCTATATAATATTCCAAATAAAGCACATATCTATATTGCTATAACTCACCTCATCAACAAAAATAATGACAGGAGCTAGTTTACTGGCAAAGGAGAAAAGGGCCTTTGTAAGCTTTTCAGCATCACCAAACCACTGTTTGCAGAACAAGAAAAACCCAGTGATATTCAGAGAACATAACACAATTTAGAACAGCCTCCTCCAAAAAATTAACAGTCATGTAGATCTCACAGGCAATGTTTCCATGGCGCCATTCGTGTGTTATTCCAACCGGTTTTTCTCAAACAGGACAACCTTAAATCCACACAAATATATCTATCTCTAGTATCCTAAGCTTACCTTAGATGTAAGTGTTGATCCGGTTATACTGATGAAGTTTGCACCTGCTTCAGTAGCAAGTGCCTTGGCAAGAAGAGTTTTCCCAGTTCCAGGAGGCCCAAAAAGTAATATTCCTTTACAAGGCTGATAAATTTTTTATAAAGTTAAAAGACTTGACTCTCCATATAATAACTTCTATTTTGAAATGTATATCAAACAGAGACAGGAGAAAAGCCACATACCCGCAACAAATTCCCACGAGAGAAAAGTTCGGGCCTTCTCATTGGAAGAATTACTAGTTCATAAAGTGCTTTTTTCACATCTTCAAGGGCACCTATATCTTCAAACTTCACACCAATCTCACCAGATGGCACCACGGCTGAAACGAAGTTGCTCTCATACTCGTCCTTTGCAAGGTTCTGTAGCATGTAAATTAATATGTAAAGAAATCTAAAATGTGTTCCACAATCAACTTTCTAAATAGTTGGCAGCATACCTTCAAACCTTGAGAGGGTTTAAAAGAAGTTGTTTCTTGATCCTTTAACCTCGTGATTGCTATCTCGAGGCTTTGCAAAAGAAACAATAGTAATTAGACCATAGTGTTGCACACCCATCAAAATCTTAATCTATGCATAAAAAAGTAGAATTAACCTTTCACGTGGCAGCTGTAAGTGATCCCCTTTTATGCTTGGAAGCTGGCAAGACGATAGGTAATGATTCTTAGCCCACCCAACAACCTTTTCAGCACCTGCTATCATCAAAATGTCCGAGCTTGATCTCAAGCCATCAAGATATAAAAATGCAATAAATGAACAAATATGAAAGAACTATTAACTCAAACCAATCAAAATATCCTAATGTGAATTTGTTAATATCAAATACTTCCAGTTCTACATATAAACATTTGGAATTCTAAATGCAATGTAGAAACCGAGAAAAACGAATTACTCTTCCATGTACCAATTTATTAGTGATCCTCACCTAATCATACGCCAAAACCTTGTAAACCACAACCTAAAATTTGCAACAGATGAAGAGATGACCGATTGCTAGAATGTAAAAGAAGTTTGAAGGTAGAATGTAAAGCGATGCGGTGTTTCTATTCCACAATACTCCAATATCAGAGGATATGATTATGGTGATCTGTTTAGAATGCAGGAAATTGAAATTTTAATTAGAGCTGTATCTTACTCTTTTTGGTCAATATTACTCCATCAGTTATTACATGCAACAGATCCAAACAAGACAGCTCATTTTCCTCGAGAACCTGCAACATAATTTTATTTGCAAGTCAAATTGGACAATTAGGAGTATGGAACATATTAATCTCGATCTTCTAGAAACAAAAATATCAGTGAAGGAAATTGCCTAGAAGTAACTTGCACCATTAAAGGCCATGCATTTCCCACCTTATGTAATTCATTTAAATTACTCCGAGAAATGACAATTCTTCTGTCCTCTTCGAGTTGTTTATTAAATGTTCTAAGGACTTCTTCTTCCTGTACGAAGAATGAAAGAGAGGTTACATGAAAGCCACTGAAAAAATAAAGATCAATAAAAACAACTTGCATGGAAAAGCAATTTTCTTTTATCTTCAAGGTTTTTAATTTCCAAAAATAATGTTGATCTGCCAGGTAAATTATTTGAGTCACAAAAAGACTGTCCTTAATATTCAAGAACAACTTACAGACAAGCACTAATGTCAGGTCAAAATTGCATAAATGCCACAAGTTAAGGCCATAATTAAATTATCTACGATTATTATTTCTCTGTTAACTCCACATCATAGAAAGAAATCACAGATGAGCCCTCATATTCAACTTTTTAAGTAACACATCGAGCAGTTAAAAAAACTACGAAAGAATTAAATCTAAATAGCAAGACAAAGGGGAGATATAAAGTGCTCTTATTTATTATAAAGAAAAAGTACGAAACAAGGACATTGAAAAATATTACAATTCCAGTTACCTTGGGAGGATGCAAACACAAAACATTAGTGAAGAGCTTATATATGTTGTCATCTTCAGACCTCTTTGTTGTCTTAAGCCCCTCCGTAAGACGTTTCAACGATAGTGGCTGAAAAATATAAGTATGTAGCAATAAATCAGCATAGGAAGTTTTTTTTTTAAAAAAAAAAGAAAAAATTAAAAACTTGATAACCAACCAAGCAACACCAAAAAAACAAAAAAGTGAAACATCAACAAGTATAAAGACATTACCAACTTGGCAATGCGTCCAATATTTGGAAGTATCATAGTCTGGGGGGGAAAAAAGAAGAAAATAGGTAAGTGTTGCTTTCAGAAGTAGACAGTCTAGGTACTTCGGTAAGAACCCAGAGCTTACAAGTTTTTCTTTCTCCTTTGAGCCCGATTCAATTTTATTCTGTCCGCAAATCAAAACCACAGGACCCGAAATTTTGTCAAAGGTTTCCTCCATCTTCTGAATAAACTCCCCACGGTTGGCCTTGGAAACTGCCCGAGACAACCATTGAGAAGAGTCTGGAAAATAGACAATAATAGGTTGCATTGAATTAACAACCTGCGAAAAAGCAAGCAAATAGCAAATAATAAGTAAATGTCATATAACATTGAATTAACAACCTGCGAAAAAGCAAGAAAATAGCAAATAATAAGTAAATGTCATATCAAGGCACAATAAGATCATTCTTCTCATTGTTGCCCGTTCCATTTTTATGCCTTCTACCTATAAGTGATTATCAAGAAAGATCCATGCAAATAAGAAATTTGGAGCTTATCCAAAGATTTGTACCTCAGTTAGAACCTCCATTGCAATAATACAATCTTCGGACTGAGTATCAAGATCATGCTCAATTTCCTTAGCTGTGGAAGAGAGTAAATATTGTCATTTTCTTTAACACCCAAAGAGTCTGAGATTCAAAATAGTGCAATTAATCATTATTACAAAACCATTTTATCTAAAAAAAAAAAATGAAATTACCATGTATCCAATAGATTGGAGGTTTTGATGCGGATTCGGAGGATGTCTCATCTTTGTCTCCATCTGGTTTTACATCATGCATATCCAAAATCACAGCAACACGATCTCCATCAACCTCGTAGACTTCCCCACGTTGACCATTTGATAAAGGCCTACAAACACATGAAACATGCTTTCAAATCACAACAACGTTGATTTCATCCAAGTGCTGAAAGAAACCATACACTTCTATATTTTTCTTTGCTTCTAATCAGTATCATCGATTAGTTGAACACAAAAGAAAGAAGTCATATAGTAATGTTAGAAGAAGGTGGAGGCCAAAAACATCAAACTACTCATAAGCAATTTCCATGAGCAAAATAACATTCTCTAGTACTTGAACCAACTAGAAAACGTAGCTGATACTGAAAAGACCACATAATACTGTGATAACTTATTTAATATGAAGAAGGTAATAATGAAAATGACAAGGCGGCTGCTACAACTTGCTAGAAAAAGTAAAATAACAATAAATTAAAAACCTCAAGAAATGAAAGCATAAAGTAACCGTGCAACAAAACCAGCAAAGTATATAAAAAAGTCAGAACACAATTGCAAATAATCCCAATTATCTAGAAAGAGATTAAGAAAGGGGAATCATAACCAAAACCATTAGCCTGAGCACTCCAGAGGAGAATAGAAAACAAACAAGATCCCGAACATCCACAGAAGACCTACCCACTATTAAACATCCTCTACTCCCTCAAGCCATAGCTCCTAAATGGTAACCACAAAGTATTTATCTATGAAAACCTTCACTTGTCCTTGGATAAATGACCATAAAGCATATGGAGGAAAAAACCAGTTACTATGCTTTGGGAAAGCCACCTAACGGTTGGAAGAGGTGCACGTTGGACCAAAACTTGGCCAAAAAAGAGCACGGAAGAAACAAGTAGCAAGCATTGAAGGACTTACATTTTGAATAGTTTCACTCATATTCATCAATGAATATTCAAACAATTAATAAAAACTTTGGTTGTTTAAAGAAACTTACTTGCCAAAGGAATCTGCGCAGAAGCATAGACAATAATAATCTTCCTTAGCAGAAAGATATAAAAGGAAGACTAGTTAGCCCAAACAAGACCAAACTAAAAAGATTCTACCATCTAATGTCACTACAGAACCTTAGCCTGACTATTCCCAGCATAGGGAACAATACTGCTACTCCTCTATTTCCAGTTTGCTAGAACAAATTTTTACCCAAAAAAAAAAAAAGGCCATTCATCTCCGAGATTTGGTCTGATTGAAAATCAGAAAATTTTTAAATAAGAACAGGCTTAAAAAAAGGAAAGAGTACTTCTGTCATCTGCACCATAGTTGGAAATAAAGGGATGCTTATCTGTCAACTATATCCTTGAAATGAGAAGTCTCCTAGTTCAAGTCAAACAAGAAACAACTTCGCAACTAATCAATAATCATTAAGGTATCTCCTCACAGCCGACTCCCACAGCCAAGTTTCTAGCTCCTTGTAACAGAAGACTCACTCATAATTGGGAGAAAATATACACTTTTCCTTGCTTAGATCGAAGAACATATATACTATAACCAAGTATTCATTTGTACAAAAAGATACATCAAAACTCTGTGCATTTTTATCTAAGAAAAGAGTGCCCAAGCCCAACTTACGCACACATCAACTAATTCTAAAGAAAATTAGTTTGACCTAACAACATGTGGAAGAAAATTGGTTTGACCTAACAACATGTGGTATAGACAGATTATACGTTTATTTACATCCTAGATGATGATGACCACCAAGGACCAAAAATATCACCTTGAAAAGAATCTAGGTTTGCTATTTGTCCCTTGACATTGAACCAACCCATGGTAGTTACAATAACTTCTTTGAAAAAACAAACAAACAAAAAAAAAAATTAAAAGCCCCTTCATACAAAAAATAATAATAAATAAAAATAACTTATCCAATTCTTGTGAATGAATTCAAGGAATGGAGCGAAAAAAATGAATAAAAGTGAAGGTTTTGGAAAAACCTAATTGTTTACACATATTACACTCCTCTAAATAAAGAGCCAATTAACTATAAAATCAAAACACTACTTCCAAAAGGCACTTCTAAAATTTCTTTTTATTTAACATTCCAACCAATTTTTACGTTTTACATGATAAAGGAATACAATATGAAAACGAGAAAAATAACTGGACACGGAAATTAAGACCAACACTGAATGCCTGTTTTGAACTACTCAAAAGAGTGCACCATTTTCTATAAGGGGGTGATTATTCGCATTTCAATCATTTTGAATAGGACCTCACTGTACAACAATGAGTAAAAATTCTATCCTGAACTACAAAATAAAGGTTACAATGTCAGATTTAGTGAACCTATTAAGATAATCATGGCAGATGCATAAAATAGAAATAAAAAATGAGGAAACTTCAGAATTCTATACATACGGTGACTTACCAACTCACCTGCCACGAATAATGGTATAAGCAATTTTTTGACCTTCGGATGTTGATATCTTCCCCAATGTGATCCTGTGATGCATTTTATTTCTCAAAATCAGGTTCCAAGTTCACATAGGGGAGGAGATCAGCAACTGGGCTTCAGAAGCTAGACCGATTTATAGAACTCCCAATAGAATGCTTTTAAGTTGTTCAAATCATCAAGATTGAACCAACAAGCATTCCAGTACTATGGCTATCTAAACCTAGATCTTAGCTATTTATCGAAGCCCCATGAAACCAAATCACATAAATTTAAGAACTATATTCCACACAGAAAAGGCACAAGCATAAACATTTCTGATAAGAGGCACAAGAAATTTCTACTGACAAACATTTCGGAGGAAAAAATAAGAAACTAAGCATATGAACAGTGAATATAATAAACATGCATAATGATACAGGTTTTTGGGGAGGAATTGAAGTTCATAGAGACAATTACACATAATACAAAAACAAACTGCGATTCTCTCTTTCTTTCTTTTCTTTTTTCTTTTTTTTGATAACATACGATGGAACTTTTATAAAACACAAGGAACGCTGGTGTAGATATAGGGAAGAATAATAAAACCAAACTGTAAGGACTAGGGAAATTATAACGGGCGTCTCCAATTGGTTAAAAAATAAATAAATAAAGAAGTGTAAATAACAATGGGAACCGTCCAACAACAATCATAAGAACTGAGTCCAAATCCAAACTTCGCTCTGCTCTCTGCTTGAGAAATAAAAGAACCCTCCGATACCTATCTTCTAAATCTCCAAAACAAAGCTAGAAGGTCCCATCAATGTCCTATGCATCTCACTGTCTCAACTTCAGAATAATAAAGAATAATATCCTTCAAATCATCAAAATGGTGCCAAAAACAAAGTTAGAAGGTCACCTCTTATCAGCTTCAACATGTATAGAAGGCCCAACATACTTCACTCGATCACCTGGGGTAGAATATAAAAGGTTAAGCAAAAAGAAAAAAAAAATGAATCCTACAGGAGATGAATGCAATAGAATCAATTTTCTACTTACTAAAAAAATTTTATGACCAAGTTTACAACCAAGAATTTATTGATTATTAAGCAAACTACAACAGCACCAAAGTAATTCCTAAAGAAATATTCACCATGGAATACAAACTCCCATGATCTCATCACCACAGAAAACATTGTGATCTCATGAAGAAAAATGCAAATTATGCATGCATAAAAACACATACATGCACATACAAATGTATATACAAGAACACAGAGCACATTTAGAGGAAAAGCTAACAGAAATTTGATTGTGTTGATTGGGACAGAAAGTTCAGGTAACAGATTCTAAGACTGAAAAAAGAATCTACAGCTCTCTTACCTTTCCTTAGTGGTCTGTTTAACTTAACAGAAGTTTCACTAGGCTCGGATTGTGATGACTCAGCCGAATCGTCGGAATCTCCATTGACTCTCTGCCACAAAGTTAAACAACAATCAGAAAATCTGAAAGAAAAAAAAAAAAAAAAAAAAAAAAAAAAAAAAAAAAAAA